CTCTTGAAGTGTTGCTGCAAGAGTTGCCTTCTTTTCACAAAATATACAAAATTTAGTAGCACCTATAAATAATTATAAAAAACGTAGAACTACAATTGATAAAAAAAGCATGTTTTATGAAGCAATATATGCCAGCATCTTCATTGAGGTGGTATATTGCATTGCCAGTTTAATCATTTGCCGTGCCTTGCTCTGTAACTAGCATGCTGGTTATCCTTTCGAGGCTGGGTTTCTAATGAAACGACGTTTTCGCAGTCTGATGTGTGGCTAACAAGAAGTGACGCAGTTGGGTCCTAAAATAATTTTGGAGCATGAGAGTCAATGGCAGAATTTTTGAATAGAAAAATTAGTTGATTCAATCAAATATTTAAAAAAATAAATAATAAGCATTGACATTTTGGAGACAAAGGTGAATTTTCTGGGCAATCTTAATGTTTCTCGCAGCACTCCCAAGGTGAATGTGTTGCAATTGTGCCTGATCCTCCAAATTCCTAAGACTTGGTGTTTACGCCTGGGAGTTCACTGGTATGAAAGTAAATATATAAGCCAGTTGGTTTGTAGGATTTAGCCATTTAAAGTTCTTCAATTAAACTTTTTGAATGGCAAGTTGAAAATGTCTGATTTATCTCCCTGCCTTTTACTGTATTGATGCATATGTCTTACTCTTTGGAATATATGACATTGTATATGGCTTGGGAACTAAACTTCCAGTGATACCTCCTGAGTATTCGATATTGAGCTATGAAGGAAAGATTATAGGCTGTGAAAGGGAAATTGGTGACGCTTCTGTGACTGTGTATAGGTTAAAACTAGCCTCGATTCCATTAAATCAGATGGAGCCTCCGTTTGAAAGGTTTACTGGAACTCCCTTCAAATGCTTGTATTACAGCAATGGTATTGTTAATGTAATTGTGAAGGAAGAGGGACTTCTACACTGTACTGTGCCTTGGCCAGTTATGACCCTAATAACTTTTGAGCCGTTTCATCAGGTTTTGCTTATTTTGAAGGCAGGTAGATCTCACAGACACTACATTCTGTTTCATGTGACACATGAAACATCTTGGTAGATGAGACCAATTTGGTTCCCTAGTGGGGGAAGACAGGGGAATTCAGCTTTTATCTGTTCTGTCTCTCAAAAGCAGCTGTCTAATCAGGACACTCGTCTTAGTTGGTGGTCAACAACCTATGTTTCTTGAGTAGCCCCCCCCCCCCCCAAAAAAAAAAAAAAAAAAGCAGAGAGATGGACATGTGCTCGTGGGAGAGGAGGCGGAGGAGGTGTAGGATGTTGGATGTGAGCACTCTGGAAGTATTGCGGTCAGTATTGTGTGGGATTTGGGAAAGCCAAGGACAGAACTCAGGGTTGCTTATTTCTAAAGTACTAATTTCAGTCCAATCCAGGTGAGTGTCCAAAGTCATTGAAGTAGCTTCTTTAAATAAATAGGTTTTCTGAGGCCAAATGGCCATGCAATATCGAGTAAATCTAGAGTATTCAGGAAAACTTAATTGGTTGCTTGTGATTTTGGACTCGGTGATCCTTATGGCTCCCTTCCAATTTGAGATATTCTATGATTTTATGAATTTTCAGTGTCAATTTGTGAGCTAATTTTCAATTTCAGTGAATGATATTTTCTTCTTTAATGCTTAGTGAATATGATGATTCTTTAGAATGAAAGATACTAGTAATTGTTTTTAATTCTACTATTTTTCTGTCATTGCTTATTGTAGCACACAGACATTTTGGTTTTCTTACTATTTCTAACTAGTGAGGCATTAGAAATGCCTAAAGGTACAGTTTACACTTTCTAAAACGTTATGCTTTTTCATACGTAATTCTCCTCTAGCGTTAATGCATTGCTTGTTACCTTTGTCATATTCCACCCTGAATTACAGATTTTTAGTATAAGGCATTACCTCAGCATATTGACAACTATGGACATCACTATTTGGTCAACCATCTTTCCATAAAACACACAGATGTTTGTAGAACAAACTTAACTGAAATCATTTGTGTTAAGCAACGTGATGTCTTCGACATGCCGTGGATTTCTAGTTGGACTAAAAAGCGTTTGAAAAATTAGCTGTTTGGTTGTGTGCTATCAACGCAGTTCAGTTCACACTGGTTTTTAAGTTCCTTTGACGTTAAGCAGTATTGTTTGCCTATGACTGATTTTCCAGAATATAATGCTTTGAAGTAGCTTGTTTGCTCGTACGAAGGAATTGAGCAGCAGCTGTCACTTGGCTGTTGCATGGTCTGCTTAGCACGTAAAAGAACTGGTTTGGGTGTTCCCCAGACACTGGACAGGAGAGAGGCCGCTAATGCTGATTAGTAGCCAGCGAGTTCAAGCACCAACTGAAGTAATATGTTGCACTTCAGATTTTTTTTTTTCTTCCCTCTTTCTCTTTGTGAAGCAGAAGAGAGCTTTCTTTGGTTTGTTAAATGGTATTTATATTAGGGTGCAGTGTGAAATTGCAAGTCATGACGAAGAGGATTGTTCACAAAAGTGAGTAGCGTATAATTAGTAACTTCAGGAAAAATGTGATAAGCATAAATCAATTTGAATAATCCATAATCAATTCTACAAGAGCTCCATTGGTTTATTGTGTTTTAAGATACTTTATAATATTTCAACTGGGAGACTCGGTAATGTGATAGATGTAACATGTAGAAAACATAGTGCTATTACTTGTCATTTGTGGTAAAAAGTGATTTATCTGGCGAGAACTTAGCTGGCCATGCAAAATGGCAAAACATGATTATTGACTGGTTTTGATGTACTGGAAACCAGTATATCAGCTGGATCTGTTGCTCAGGCTTCCACCAGCTTCCAAAAGTTAACACTCCTATCTGTGATTTCCACTGGCCTGGAACTATGACTACTTGAAAAGAAGCTTAAAAAGGTGGAGTTGTTCTTGCACCTTCTTTGGAACTGCCATGGGTAGGGACTTAAACAAATAATAACACTTAATCTGTCACCAGCTCCTGTGTCTCTCAAACCTGTGATCAAAGCGATCTAATGACTCCGGAGGGTAGTAGGGATTTGCCTTAATCAGAAGGCTATAGATAGTGTTGAACATGCTGCTGGTACAGCAAGCGAGAAAAGGTTCTTAAGGACTGCAACAGCATTATTTGAGTAAAAAAAAAAAACCCCAATCTCGTGTTTTACTGACTGTCCCTGGTGAGGAAGATAAATACGGGTTTCTAGTTCCTGTAGCGGGAAATATTGTATGTGAATGTATTCCTGGTTAAATTTTAATTGCAGAATAAAATTCCGGGCTGCTTTAGCTATTTTGTTGATTAGCACTACTTGCTTTTAATGATTGCTTACCCATGTGGCTAGTGATTGATCGGGACATGAATATTGCTTACTTTTGTTCTGTGCTGGTATTAACATTAACAAACAAGTCTGGTTATGTTGATTTGATGTAATGTAAGCGGCTGCCTTTACAAGAGGCAACTTTAGAGGAGCTTATAAAAGGGAAAAATGAATTATATTCTGGGAAAGCATCCTGGCTTGAATGGAAAGCTTCTGGAGTATGTTCTCAGTTTAAAAACTGTTGAGCCAGATGTATATAGCAACAATGTTTTTTCTTAAAATATAGGCAAGAGACTTGGGAAACAGCTTTTTCTATAGTCTTAAAATTTTATTAATTTCTGATTAATCACTGAAGTTTTTGTTTTTAAAATACAGCAATAGGACAAGCAGGATGAGCGTATACCATTTAGTGTCAAAATCTACTAGTCTAAAACTTAGTGTCAGATTGTATTTAATGTGTTTGTCTTCCACCAATATTAAACTCAATATAGTGACTTTTCTGTGCATGTACTCTAGAGCCAATGTATGTTGATATTCTTAGGGGATCTTGCAAATATTCAATATTTTAATTTTTCCCCTCCCTCATTATATTTTTTTTTCTTAGCTGGAAAAGAAGCAAGCAACCCCTCCATTTCAGCCTCAGATCACAGATGATTATGGTTTGGATAACTTTGATACACAGTTCACCAGCGAACCTGTGCAGCTAACCCCAGATGATGAGTATGTTTTTCTTTTTCCTCAAATACAACTGCATATTAAGAAATGAATTTATAAATTACTTGAAAATTACTAAGAAGAGACTATGTATTTATCATTAGAACATAGTCAAGTTTTAAAGTAAATTTGAAATTCTTTGTATCCTACATATCTTGCATAACTTACCATACTTATATATTAGGAGACTGCCTAATTCTAACAAAAGTTCAGAATACAGTATTGATTTGCTGTTGAGCTTGTGCTTGGCGCTGAAAGCAGAGATGGAAGTTTGATTCCTGACCCAGGCAGCTTGCATTTCTGTACTCGGGAGAAACAACTGACGCACAACTCCTTGGGTCTCGGGATAAGCTCGAGATAGCAGGAAAATCTTACAGAAAGCTGTTTAAATGTGCTATGGAAAAATTTTGTGTGATGAGAAAGCGTGCTTTAATAAAGGAATTCGAAGGCTGAGGAGTGATTACTGTACACAAAGGAAGAAAGTTCCTTCAGATACAAGGTGGCAGGTAAGAAGACAGGCTATAGGTGTGGGAGTTAGATGGGAGACTTAGCTTGCCCAAACTCTAAGAGAATAATTGTACACAGTTTTGAGGGTTTACCGAAGCGTAAAAATTTAAAATTGGAAGTTTAACTTGCTTTGGAAAAAGAAGAGGAAGCTCTATGCACTGGCGGGAAAATGTCGGAGAAGAAAGTCTGGCTGACTTCATTTGCGTGTGAAGCCTTTAGCACGTGGGGGCGGGGGGGGGCAAACCACACCGGTGTGAGAATCGCAGTGTCTCATTGCTGAGGAATGCAACTGTTGGGGGGGCGCATTTTTTTTCTTTCCAAGGTGCATTTTTCTTTTGAGGCTTGAGTGTGTGGCGCTAATGCCAGATGGCACCTAGATAGAATACACCTTTTTAAGAGCTTTACAATATTGTTTCTCATTAAAGAGCATAGTGATGTGTGTCTTGTTTTGAAATTTGTGTGCTATTCTATCAAAAATACGAAGACACTTTCTGCTGCTTATTTAGCGCTTTGATACAGAAGAAGAATGAATCAAAGGAGATTTTGAGTTCTAAGACTCAGAATCCTGAAATCTGTGCAGCTAGGATTTTTCGGGGATCTTTACTCTGGGAGAGAGCAGCAAAGATTTGCTTGCATGTTATACACTTATATTTTGCCAGTATATTTCATTTATCTATGTTTGGTTTTCCTTGTCTGCCTAGGTGTCCTCTGCTGAAAACTGTGATGCATTCTTTTCCAAATGTTTTCAGCCTGTTGTCCTGTTCGTTGGTTTCATGTTTGAAGAAAGTGTTTCACGAATTTCCAGTGCTTTGCATTCTTTACAATTTCTAACTGAAGCCTGTAAAGCTACTGATGGATGGTGTTCTAGAGGGAATATTTGGGTCTGATCAGATGATTAATAAAGCTGATTCTAAAGTATTGCTTTTGGAACTGGGATTTTAATAATGGATTTATGATTTCTACCTTCTTAGATACTGTCTGAAGTACTGCGTATAGTTGGATGCCATGTTGGCAAGCAGAGGCTGCTGCATACTCCCCAAAGGCTTTCATAATTAAAGGCGCGAGATGGTCACGTTCCAGCCTATGCGCTTCTATCAGTTTTCCCTCTTTGTTGCTATACAAGAAAGCTAAACTGCTCTGAAAGACAGACAATACAGTTTCAAAGCCTCTTTCATAAGTGCCTGCTAATGCTAGGTCAGCCCCCAGGATTAGCTGGTTGGTCAGGGAGTTTTTATTTGTACAAATAAATGTTACATTGATTAAGTTTGTGATTGTGAAACTGAACGCTGTAACTAGCAATCTGTTGAGCCTACTCCAGTGGCACGAAATTCACGCTTGCAGGGTTTTTCTCTTGCTGCACTCTGGGGTAGCAGCTGTTCGCCCACATGTAATCACGTATTTGGAGATTTCACTGTGGATATTGGTGTGCCTAGGTGCTCAAGCTTGAATTTTGTAGAAGTGTTACCTATATATGCATAGTCCACAACCTATTCTCTCCTTCTCAAGAGTCCAGCATATATGAAGTGCATAGCTGAGTGGAAACCGAAGTGTGAAGTGCTTCAGTCATTGTTTCTGTGTGACACCGAAGAATTGCAAGGCATAGTTGTGCTTTACAGGTTCTGCTTGGTGACAAAATCACTGCTACGAGTGTATGCGCAGCTATAGTGGGGAGTTTTGAACAACACATCTTAGAAGAAATTCTGTCTCTTTTATATACATCCATTATAAGTCTTTCCTTGGATTTCCTGTGCATACAATATGTATTTTTTAAAAACTGTTAGCTTTGTGCTTGACTCTTTCATAGTATTTATCTTACATATAACATTAGCAGCCCTTGCTGGCAGCAAAATGTCTTTATTTGTAAATTGGTATTATAAAACAACAGTCATTTATTATATGCTTCTTTTTGGGCCCTCTTAAGTATGCGTGTTGCCTAACTGGAAGGGCAGAAGAAACTTTTTATCAGATGTTTCAAAATTTCCAGTCATATCGCTTTAGTGTTAAGTATTTGTATGTTCAGAGACTTACTTTTCTCCCCATTTATTCTTGCTTCTGCACAACTTCGTATGCATACGTTTCTGTATGGTATTTTGTTACTATTTGAAGAAAAAGTACAGCGACAAAAATAGTATTTGCAATTGATAAAACTAAAAATGCTTTTTATTTGTTTTTCAGAGATATAATAAAGCGAATAGATCAGTCAGAATTTGAAGGATTTGAATATATTAATCCATTGTTGCTGTCAACAGAAGAAACGGTATGAAGGAGTGACATCTTCGTTGTGGACAATGTGAATGACCTTTAAATTTATCCTTAACTACAGTATATGCATGCGAGGCTGGGGAACTGTTAAGATTTTGGATGGAGACCAATGATTTAAAAAAAAAAATTGCTGCTGAAAATCAAAGAAGAGAATAATGATTTTGGTGGGTGTCTTCTGCCACTTAGTGATTCTTAAGTTCTGGGCACTGACACAACTGGCTTCATTAATGAAGGAATTTGCATTTTGTGCCTGTTTCATGAAGGACTGAAACGTTCATTGCATCCCTGGAAAAGGAGATTCTGAACGACTTTGAGATCTACACACTTTCTACAAACATTTGATGCAATGAGCTACCAATTGAAGAATATTACAGTGTAACATCCTGAAGAATAAAATATATTACGGTGGTGTTGAAGCTTATTTTTGATGCCTTTTTTCACAAGTGGTACCTGTCTAAACGTCTCAGATATATTTAAAAGGAGTTGTGTTTTATTAGCAATCAAAACATAAATTTGGGTACAAGATTTAAGTGCCTAAATGGATAAACTGCATTGAAGAATTATTACATATTTGGAACATTCTTAAACCTGGTAAGTTCTGCTTGTTAATACTAAGTAACCATTTACATGTGAAACATACAGTTCACAGCTGCAGCCTAATGTTCATTTGCATCTTTATAGAATTTGAAATAGTGACTCAGCAATATTAATTCCAAATTAGAATTTACAGTATTAGTTTCAAAATCTGTTGTTTTAAGCTCCAAATTTACCAAATTGTATAGATTGAAGGAAACTAAATTTGCACACAAAGGATTTCTGAAAATACTTAAGCAGTGCCTACACCTACAATGATGTTGTGTTGTATATTAGATTTTTGAAAAGTATTTTTATCAACAATACAAATATTCAGAAATAGAGCAAAAGCGTAATAAAGCATAGCCTTAAAGTTTAAATAGTAAATCTAGAACTACCATAATATACAATACATTTTCCTGATAAAGCACACCTCCTACTTATGATAAACTGTCTGCTTACAATTACTCAATGTATATTAACAACTAATCATTCTGCTTAAGAGAATGGGATGTTTTGGTAAAATGATTTGCATCAAAGTAGTAAATTTTTTTAATGGAAGAAAAATGAATACCTAAGAAATTGGATAAAGCAAAAGATAACTATCAAATCCCTTCTCGTGGAAAGGGGGGGGGCAGGGAAAGGATATATTACATCAAAAAAGTTAACAATTTATCAGCTTAGAAAAGCTCATGTCGCTACATTTGAGAATTAGTAAGTGTGCATTGCTATCTGAACCTTCAGATGCTTGTGAAGATTTACCCGCCTCTCGGAGTAACAACAGCAGAGGCTGTATTTCTTTTTGCTAGGTTTTGGTTTCACTATATTGTGTGGGCTGTAGAGATAGGAAAAAACCTATGTGGGAAGGAAAAAATGAGAAACCCTGTGCCATGACATCTCACCTAATTTGGTGCAAAATGCAGGATAAATTGCAACGCTCTCACTTTCTTTACATTAACATATGGTTTTCTCAGGGTACAGCATTGCATTAGGTGCTGAACATGACATCTTTCGGATTCACATCCAAGTCATGAGGTGCTAGGACGAGACTGCCAAAACATTGTTTAAAATTTTCAATTAATCATTGATTAACAATCTACATTTTGTATCCCCTCATTAGCCACAATTATGCAGACCTGTGGTTATTTAGTTATATTAATCCCATTCAGATTTAAGTTGTGGGTTTCTCTCCGTTGGACTGTAGCTTTTCGTATTAAGCAAAATGTGTTTTAATCAGCATTAAATAATTTAACCAGTAAGAAGTACTTGCCTCAAATGCCTGGACTTTAGATACTTTATTATCTACTAAAGGAAACATTTACGTTTTAAACATAATCTGACATTTTTTTAATTACTCCTTTTTTCCCTTCTCCCTGGCAATTACTTTATTTACCCTGAATAATGTTGCTTTCAGTGTTTTCAACTCCCCTGGTAATAAAACTAATCAATAGTTATCAGAGTGACTGCAGGCAGCTCATGAATGGAAATATGACAGATTAAGCTGTCCTTTGACATGCCAGGGCATAGGACTTTAAATGGAAATATTAGAAGTGTGGGTTGGGGTTTTTTTTTTAAACCTTTTTTCTAGGTTTCAGAACATTTTGGGAGGGAGGGAGGGAAGGAAGAACAGAGACACATTTGCTAAACATTGTAAAGACTACTTGATTTTATTTAAAACTTTACAGGCATTTACAATGTTGCTGTGTTGCCAAATAGTTTGCTGGATACAAGTTTGGTTGCTCATGTGCAAGTGTTTGAATAATGTTCTGTTCATGATGAAGGGGAAATTTTTTATATAAAGTACTTGTTTTATAAATAAAAGAAAATGAAGGATGTAATTAAATGTGTGGTTTGGGAAAAAAATCCTAATATATTACAAATGGATCTGGTAATGATATATAGTTGTCTTATTTGAAATAGTAAATAAAAATTCTAGCTAATTTAATGATTGTAAAACAGTAAATATGTTCTTGTAGTTTTGTATAATTAATTAGTTGGGATCTTTGCTGACCAGTTTTAATTGTGCAGAAGATGGTATACTAATCCATAACAGCTAAGATCATTTATATTCTTGCACATCTATTAAAGACTTTAATGAAAAAGTTAATAGACTGTTATTATTTATCAGTAAACTGAGCTATGTCCAGCTTATACTTTTTAAAGAGACCCCATTGTAAATTAAATCTATAGGGTTCTTCCTGTATTTTGATACTGTATTCTATGTTTATTCTGTATCTTTGGATCGCACCTGAACTGTACGTTTTTGAGGTCCAGGGCAGGGGTTTGCTGAGAGAGAAAACCATTCAGATACTGAAGTTTGTTAATCTGAGTTGCACTCTTCACTGTATGTGAAGGCAGTTGTGATCAAAATAGCTGAAACAGGCACAACTGTACTACCCTCGCGTATGGCCCTTTGACAAGAAACTCCCTCGCAGTGGAAGGCTGTGACTGGAGCCATGGTGTGCTGTATGAACAGGGTACCCTGAGCAGTAAACAATTAACTGTACTTGGGGGGAATGAACAACCTGCTCTGGGTTACTTCATCCCTTCCATTTGTTGTTGCTAAACTATCACTAAATGTCACTTACTGTCATTCATGGAAAAGGTTGCTTTCCTCAAGCTTACAAAATGTTTACCTGCTACTATTAAGAAGTTACCAAAATAGTAGATGAGTCTTCTGAATATCTTCTAGCCAAAACAAACTCTCAGGTGTTCTTCATTCTCAAACATTGATGGTTTCTAAGGGGGAGGGTTGGAGCTGAGAGAAAAAGCAGCTGTTCTGGCTGACTGACTGTATTAAATCTTGTGAAACTGGAAGGAGAAATGTTCTTTCTGGAGCCTAGTTCCTTGAGACTGGTCATGTTGATCCAGTGGATGCTGACTTAGAAACCTACAAAGTAAGGTTATGAATTCAGCTGTGTTCCTTCAGAAAGATAAAAAACCAAACACCCCCTTTACTTGGTCTGGGTTGTGTTTTCTTTTAACATAGATATACTCACAGAATCAACTGTACAATCGTGTAAGTTCTTACTTAGATATTAAAGTAATGAAAAATGCTAAGCTTGAGTGACTTTTTAATCTTATTTTCACAGATTACCTGTTTAGAAGCAAAAGAGGTCAGTAAACTTTTGGATTAGATTAAATAATAGTTATCTTTTGTTCAGCTGTTTTCTTCTACACTTAGAGATTCAGAACAACTATGGTGTATCAGACAAAACAGGTTCTTCAGGGATTTACAATAGTACATTTTTTCAGAAGTACCCAGATTGCAGGAGTGCCAAGACTGATTTCCCTGGGGGTCTCTGGGACATCCTATAGCACCATTTTCAGAACCAGAACTACTGTACATGCATTTGAGAGGATTTAAAATAAAATGGCCCCAAACAGGCAGGTGGCACTTGACCTTCTATTGAGTTGTTGGTTTGTGATCCTTAAGCAAGTTTGAGACAAGGACGTGCTTCCTTGACACATTTTTCCTTTTCCTTTGAGAAAGGTTCATCCTTGGCCTTGTTCCTTTGCTGTTCGTTCTTCTGGATTTACCACATGACATCGTCTGCACTTTCAGACAGACACCTAGCAAGATGGCCGTCAATATCCAGTTGTGACAGTCTGCAAGTACAGAGAATTTCTTCAGTGAGAAACAAAGTCAAATCCTTTTATTTACACTATTCTTCACCTTCACTCTCTCATTTCCTAAGCAATCGCAGAAGTGTTCTAGTAGCTTAATGGGTAAGTCATTCCCCCAATCTGCCACAAACTCTTGTAGTTGCTGTTACCTACTGCTAGATAGTTTGATAATGTCATTTACTGGAAAACAATGCTCACACTCCATATGGTCAGGACAAGTAATGCTGTCCTTGGAAACATGAGGCTATTGGTACAGGATAGAAAATCATTACCTTTTTCCACATCCAGCTCCAACTCGAGGATACAAGAGATTTCTGATAGAGGAAGGATGCTTTCTATGTCTGCTTTTAGTTTCCTTTTTTGGAGGGCCATTTCTGTGACTATGAGCTGACCCTCCCCGCTGCCCTCATTACAATAATTGTTTGTAAAATGGCTTCTGTAACAATTGAAACTAATCCTAATCAGCACAGAGTTACCAGTAGCACAGAACTGAAGACCTGAAGTATGTTTAGCCTTTCTGTCTAATTATTTTTATATAATGACAACAATTTTGTAAATATGAATGAAGCCATTCTTTTGTCTCCTTGTTCAGCCTCCAAATGAAACAAAAAGTTGCAGCCAGTAAATCTCACAGTGTTTGAGGACCTGTTCAAAACCATGTTTCCAGCAACTATGACAGCCTAAATACTATTAAGTGGTGTTAAGGTCAAGAGACAACATAATTCTTACTGTAGAGTAGATATTCAATTCCTGGGAGGGTTTATTTTTTTTATAAAGGTAGCCTGACAGCAACAGAGGACTGAAGTCTCATTTAGTTGCACTAATCAGGGCTTGCCTAAGGAAAATAAGCTCCCTTCCATCTTGCCCATACTTTGAAAGCTAAATCTAAAATGAAGAGCACAGTTGCTCAGCCAAAGGCATCCAGGTACTTACTGAACAGGTACCAATATAGCTGTAACAGTGAAGTCTAGATCTCGAAGAGAAAGTGTCAGGTACGAGATTAATCCATCTAGCTCTAAAGTTAGCTTTGAACTATCAAGAATGCTGCACTGGAATGGTTTTTGGGTTATGATACAAATGCCACAAAAAAGTCTTTTCAGACTCACGTATTTAAAAACGCTAATTCTGCATACACTAGCAAGGTTTACCAGAGAGCTCAAACTTGGCTTTCTTTTTCAACCAGTATAATCTGGTAATTATGAACTTCTAAACTGAATTACA